TGCAGGCACGCAAATATTTAATATCAGCGACCTTTCTTCCCCTGTTGGATTATGGTGATGTACTGTATATGAATGCCTCAGCTAGATGTCTCCATTCTTTAAATGTGGTTTACCACAGTGCCTTGAGGTTTGTGACGGGTTGTAGTCGACTAACGCACCATTGCGACCTGTATGTTAAAGCACAGTGGTCATCTCTGAGTATGCGATGACATGATCATTGGATGGTGCTAGTGTACAAGGCTTTGGTAGGCCTAGCCCCGGCATACTTATGCTCTTTTTTACGTAGATCGGATACCAAATATGCCTTACGGTCTTGTGATAAGTATCAGCTCATGGTGCCGAGAGTTCGGACCGAGAAAGGGAAACGGGCTTTTGGATTTGCCGCTCCCTCTTTGTGGGGGAGCAGATTTGAAACTTACTGAATTATGCTCAGTTAAAGCTTTTTATTCTCTTATGGCTCTTAGGCAACAGGACTCTCTTGGTCAGTGTAGGTGTTTTTAAATTGGTTGTATTGTTGATTATTATATTTATGGTTTTGATTGTTTAAATGTTTAATGTTTTTGATTTGTATTGAAACTTATGTACTGACGACATGTGTTGTTGACCTCTTGGCCAGGTCACCCTTGTAAAAGAGATCGTGATCTCAATGGGTTTTTTACCTGGTTAAATAAAGAGAAGTAAAAAATGTAGCTCTTAAAGGTGAGCAGTGTCCATCTGCTGCGGTCATCTGGGATTAAGTGGAAACCTCCGAGGCTGAGAAATGAAGCCAGTGTGGAAATATTAAAACCTGCTGTTCCTTGTATGTCCACTAGAGGTAGACTCCAAAAGGGAGTCGATCCCCATAGACTCCCATGTTAAAATGCCCAGCTTTACAGCAGAAATAAACATGTTCAGGGCTCCAGGCTTTTTAAAAATAATTTGCCTGTTTAAATTATATTGAGGTTAAAAGCTATGTATAAAGGTTTGGCCCCTGTGAGTGACAGGCAGGAGTGGCTAGCTGCTAGTCGTCTAGCGAGCTCCGCTCATGCTGCACTTCTTTACCTATTTTAGGTTAGGGGGAGTAGTGGTTGTTCGTCTGCATGTTAGCCCTGCGATGGACTGGCGACCTGTCCAGGGTGTACCCCGCCTCTCGCCCGCAGCTGGCTGGGATTGGCTCCAGCTCCCTGTGAAAATTTGGCTACTATTTTGAGAACTGATGAATTGTTCTGTCATTATTTCAAGCAAAATGCCAAATACTCAGAGGTTCCAGAGACATTTGAGGATTTTGTTACATTTTTACCCAGTTCTTTTATTGAAAGCGCGAGAAGTGAAGACAGGAGAGGACTGTATAAAATCAACAGAAAATTTACTCAAAGTCTGGGCACAGGTGAAGTCCATACAGCGCTGGGATCAGAGAGACAGAGCTCATGCAGGAAATTCGTTCTCTGAACCACGAGTTACATTTTCTCACATGACAAAGCAGAACTTGGAATAAGCTAAGCGGGTCTAGGTGAAGGTGCAAAACAGGCCAACAGGTCTTTGTTAAAATGTAAAATAGACCATCTGATTACTTGAAGGCACAGACATCCTGTCTCCACAGAATTTGCAGCATACACTTCTAAAATTTCACTCAGTAGAATTTGGCAGTCATCAATACAGTTTTAATATATAAGCAAGGAAAAATAAAGGTATGAAAAGTAACTAAAGGAAACTAAAGTTCTGAAAAGAAACTAAGGGAAACTAAGGTTATGAAAAGTAACTCAAGCTTATAAAGTAACTAAAGCCTATAAGATTCAAATCTTACAATTTGATATTTCTTCTGTTATGTATTTCTGTAAATTGATTATCTGTTGGTTTTGATCCATAGGAGAATTTTGATTCACTATCTTTTGAAATTTTGTCAACTATGTTCAAATAGTTAATTGGTAAAGAAATTAAAGTAATTGGTAAATTTAGCAGTAAAAGCAATCATTGCTTTCAGCCCTTGTTGCTCAGTCATGAGCTGGTCACACTCATTAGCATCTGGATCACTGACATAGTAAAACCAAAAAAAAAACTGAGGTCAGAAGTTTAATTATGAGATGGAAATGGCACATGAAACATTTATAGCCTTTAATTTTTTAGGGTGTCTGTCAGGCTTGCAGACTTCCCAGCAGTCATCATGTGATCGCTTCCCTTCCGTTAACTTCAGAAAAGACATTTTTGCTCTTTGACTTTTAATAGACTCAGACTGTTTTATGATGGTGCAAAGTTTAGTCAGTGTCAGGCAACAGCTTGAAAGTTATTTCAGCATATTCCTCTGTGAGTGATGCATCTGCATCTCACCTGATGTTTTTATTACCAGGCTTTTCTATCAGTTTGAATAAAAGCTGAAGCTCTGCCAGGTGGATTTCTGTCAGAGAAGAAGAAATGGTACCCAGTTTTCAGGAGCACAAAATAACACTGTGCAGTGTGTTTACTAACCTTCTATCATGTTCAATCCTTTTCTACAGAGAACTTGCACCTTGCTGGCAATGTATCAAATAGCACCAGCATCCCTCTGCGTTCTGTCGACATTCCCAGCCAGAGACTCTATCGAGGCCCCATCCACTGCATCAGCTGTATCCTGCAAACCGAAGGGCTCCCAGGCCTGTACAGGGGGGCCTGGGCCATGATCCTGAGGGATGTCCCCGGATACGCTCTCTACTTCATCCCTTACACCATCTTCTGTGACCTGCTGAAGCCAGACGCCACATCAAGCCCTCATCCCTGTTCCATCTGCCTCGCTGGAGGATTGGCAGGTAAATGTCACAATGGGCAGCTTGTTAACATACCATAGCAATGTGTAATAGGATATTCTGCATAATTAGTATAGTTTGGTTTGCCTGAAGTTGTCCAGTCAGTGGTGTTGGATGCAAGTTTTTCACTGGTAGCCACAAACTGGGGAGTGACATGCATGAAGAAACATTAACATCTGTCAGTTGAGGTCATAGTGCTTGACTAAACAAGATGATGATGGTGGGCTTGCTTTGGGTTTAAACTAAAGGTAGCTACATTTTCAGCAGTGACTTCGCAGAAGTTGTGCAGTGTCACTGTGACAACCAGCTACACTGCGGGGGTCCATCTGTAGTGGAAAATGAAGTACCTGGTACCAAAAGTGAGTAGAGTCGAGTTGAATTGAGCCAGTATCAAAGCACTGGAAAAGGGGCTTTTGGGTGCAGCTGCAAACCTCTTGACTGTTGAACCTACAGCCCAGTCTGGCCTTGAAATGGTTGGTTAAAGTATGGATATTTCAGTTTGTGCACACAGGAGTTTTGTTGAGCTGTAAAACACTCTGTGATGCTTTCACCATAGAGGTTTTAGAAATCCACAGGTGACCTTGACTCGCTTTGTTTGGAGTATTTTAAAGTGACTAGTGTGATGATATCATTCCGCAAAACGTCCTGAAGCACTAATCCACTAACATGGACACTTTTCAACTCGAGCTGTAGAAATCAGGATCCTGATGGTGGTGTTTGGGAGTAAAATTTCCTCACCCACACACACACACACACATATACACACACACACACACACACACACACATGTGTAGGGCAGGAGGGGTATGAGCCATGTGACTTGTAGCAACTCACATGGTGTAGGGCAAGTGAATATGAGCTGTGAGTGTGGCAGATTTACAGTACAGGGCCTGAAGACTTGAATTTCATTCAAGCAGACTTGCTTCCAGATACCAACTACGAATACATGGCTAGAATCAGCTGTGTGTCATAAATCACTGAAGCCTGGATGTTTGCCTGCCATCAGGCCTGAAAGGAAATAGTCAGTTGTTGCCAAACTGAACCATAGAAAACATCCTAAATAACTCTGTGCGTCCACATTGTAAGTGGCATATAAACTTTCATTGTGATTGTTTGACTGTTTGATGCTGATTTTCAGTTTATGCCTTAAGTGCAGTGTTGTTGCGGTGGACAGACCTGAGTGTTCCTTCCTCCCAGTCTTAATATAATATTGGGATTTAGTTCTTGAACATAATGTACCTTGAAAGTATGTAAAGGTCTAATATAAAATCTCTCAGCTGAGCTGCATGTTCAAGAGAGGCTGCTGACGTGGCTTTCATTTTAAATTTCCACTTTACTACTGGTACCTTTCCACTCATTTCATTATCTGAATTACTACATGAACTATCAGCTGTTATGAGCAGCACCCAAATGCACCATCAGTTTTAATCTGTTGGTTTTGGTCTCAGATTGTCTCATATGGGCAGCATCTTTTGACAGGGCTGATACCCTGAAGTCTGCTTTCTAAACAGTCATTCGACTTAGGAAAAAAAGGCATGGGAGCTAATTGAATTAAGGTTTTAAAGACACTCTCTGAATGCAAAATTTCATTCCACATACTGTACCATGATAATAATACTCAATCTAAATATTGTCAGTTTCCTAGCCAGAAGTTTAACACTAAATGGTGTTTAATGTGACTTAAACACAGCATCACTTGTTGGGAGTGGAACATTTAAACTTCCTGTATTCAGGGTCCATCTCCTGGGTCACTGCCACACCAACTGATGTGGTGAAGAGTCGAATGCAGGCTGACACTCAAGTGCAGAGGAAGTACAGAGGGGTCTTACACTGTATCATCCATAGCTACAAGACAGAGGGGGTACAGGTGAGGAAACACAAAACATTAAATGTTTGAAAGACAACAGTGAGCTCTAAAAACAGATTTGACAGTTTGGTTGACTAATTGGTCATGTAAGTATGGCTTAGAATGATGTGTTAAGTCAGATTTTTATTTACTGAGTATCACAAATTTGCCTCTAAGGGCTTTACAATCTTTACAGTACATGACATCTTCAGTTCTTAGACCCTTGACTCAAATAAGGTGAAAAAAATCCTCTAAATCTTATGTCAAATTTTGTTTACATTAGGAGCCCATCAAAATGCTGCAATATCATAAAAACCCTTCCTCTCCAAATGTATTTTATGAAGAGGAACATCCAGTCAGAGGCACAAGGTGTCTGCAGTGTCTCATAGTGGAAGTGGACCAAAGAAAGTACGGCCACTTTTAGGAAAAAAGAGCAGAGGCTCTATTTCACACAGCAAATGCCAGTTAATAAGTACGACCACTAAATTAAAATGATCACATGATGTTTGTCAGACAACAGAAACTGTTGCATTACCATCTACTAGGGGTGTGACAATACACTTAGTGCATGAGACAAGACGATACTGAGTTCACCAGAATGAGACAAAAATATTTGAAAACTATTTTTAAGAAATCTTCAATGACAAAATATGACTGGAAAAATTTTACTTTTTTCAACTGAAAGTTGCAAAATACAAAAACAATGCAGACACATTTTGAAATGTTTAATCATCTTGTAATGTCACTTCAGTTCTGCTTTTGAGTATGAATGATGAAAACGACAATATGCAGCACTGTAAAAGGTTTGGCCACAGACTCAGCTGACCAGATTCTCTCCTGTACATTTCACAAGTCTCATCAGACCTTAGACCTGTGGGTGACCCAACATCCAGCAAAGGCGCTGCGTAGACCATTCACGTATGGGGAACAATCAGGGTGTGGATGCTCAAGGAAACAAGACTCTTGTTTACCTTGTTAGCATGAGCGTTCACTACTATTCACTGTCAAATTTGGGCCACAGATAATGCACCATAACCACACGCCATGTATTTTCATTAGTACTGGATGTTAATGTGTTTTTTTTTTATCAATGCCGACACACCGGTAGTAGGACTGGTACTAAAGTTGAGTAGGCTACGTTAGCAGCATGGCTAACCAAAGCACAACGGAAACTCACGGGCTGGAAATGTGAATGAAGTCACTCACGTCAACTCGTCACAACATGGTCGTATTGTGCGACCCCTCACCTCCCAAACAACACAGCCCCATGTGTGAAAACTAGTGATGTAACGTTCCTATCGAGGATTCGAAGCGTGTGCCGAGTAGGGGAGGGGGCGTTTCCGCGATGCGTGTATCGAGGCTTGCGTCATTTAGGTGAGGAGCTGAAAATGATGACGTCCGAAGCCTCGCTGCCCGGCTGTACCACGTGACTGATTCAGGAAGTGGTTCGGATTTTGCC